CTTTCCATCCATGCTATGCTTGTCGATATAGCTTACGGTGCAAAGCGAAAAGGAGAGGCGGGGCGGGGCGGTTATCACAGTCTCAGTACGGAATACGTACGGATGCATGAGACTATTGCAAAGTGCTCGGATGACCGGTAAGTGGAATGTCCGCCTGCCTATCATCCAACACCAAACGAAATGACAATTTTGTTCCTTCTGGCTCTGTCTTGCTTAATTAGCCGGGACAGAATCTGCTGGCTGCTTTGGCGCAAAGATGATAGCGCAACCAGATGGGCTAGTGTCAAAATTTGTTGGGTCCAGCTCACCTGCTTTTCACCAAGCAACCGGAGGTAGGTACCTAGTCGTTGCTTCGTTTCGTTTAAGGGGAAAGAGGGCCGCATTGCTTGCATTGCCCATCCAGTGTCCACCGAGCAGTCAAGGGCAACTCGTCTCCGAACATTCACACGCACATAATCATCGGCCCAGCACCACATGTCGACCTGTGGGCTGTGGTGACACGCCTCTTTGTCTACTCCGTACCTATGAACGTCTGGGCATTCGAATGACCTTTCTTCTGCCCTCATTGGATGCCCATCGCTCGTCTCGGCCACCATCCATGGGACGCGAACAGACCGAATGGCGCAAGATCCGGACGTGGGGTTGGTTCATGACCCTGAATCTAGCACACCACCCAGCGATGCGAAATTGAAGCTGTCATGGGCTAATCTTTCTATTGCTCAGCACCTCTCATCCTATCCACGTATTCGTATCCATGCGACCGTCACTTATCCTCGGACAAGACAAGGAGCCGCGGGTTGTTTGATGGTCTGCCGGTTCGGCTCTTTTTTTTTTTTTTTTTTTTTCCATCTTTTCTATTGCCTGTTTTGTTCCCTTGTGTCGAGCATTGGTATTTTGATTGATGTGGCTATCCCAAACAGATACATTGAGCGCTATTCGGTCAAGTCGAGAAAGCCGTGTCCAATTAGCTCGAGTCCCATGGTCAACGCAACTGTCAATGTCACAAAATTCACCATGTGTCCCCTAACCCACCCGAGCAAACCAACGCCAGCAACGCAGCCAAATTGGATTGCGCCAAGCAAAGTACCGGTTACAATTGTCTACTTCTGCCCTCCACGGAATTGTGGCGTCTGTCGGTGACTTGACCACACTCGACTCAATACTGTAAAAGTACCTACAATTACCTACACCAATGCACTCTCGGTGGACTGCACTTCCGGACGGGGCCAGTGATGTTTCATAACACATGCAGACAAGAATGCACAAATCGTCCGAAGAGGTAAATCTCTTCCGCTCACCAACATCCACGGGCAATTTCTTATTTCGGAGCATTGAGCAACAAGTTGTGCAAATGCGACCCTCCCCGTCTGACGATCGCGGGAGCTCATCGATTGGCCAATCCCCCAGGGACGGCAGCTACCCCTGACCTGTGCGATCTAGGCAGCCCGGCCAATCAAACCATCTGATCTCTTTTCGGCCTCCGTCCTTCAACCGTTAATTGAGTCACGTGATAACACGAATACGAGAGTGCCCCTCCATCCATCATTCATCATTTCCATCATGCCCACTGATAAGAGCCAAATCCAAGCTCCGATTGAGACATGGCGGGGTAATGCCTGATGAGCCGTCGCAGCGCCCGGCCACTGCCTTTGCTGCGGCGTCTCAAGCGTCGCTCTAGCTTCTAGACCGCTTTGCAGAACGTCATGACGCCCTTCTTTTTTAAAAAAAATAAAAAAAAATTTCACTCACCTCACCAAAAGTGAGGCTCTAATTAAGGTTTGTGGAGCGCCTGTCGTCTGACTGACACAGACCACATTTCCATTACGGCGGGACTAGACTTTCTAAGCTATTTGGTCCAACTAGAAGCAGTCAAACTATCATCATCGTCACTTGAACTTGCTATTACCACATGAGTTGCCCTCCAGTTGGCCTTCTATATGCGCTGCTTCGTCCTATCGTTATTCAAATCTCTCCGCAGCTGCGAAACTCAGGATCTGGGCCATCTTACGGACCATAACATGTCCGTCACATGGATTCGACTAATCCAACTTGGTGATCGTCCCATGATGACTTTGATCATGTTAGCGTAAAGCTCTCGCTCTGTTCAAGACTTAGCTTCAGAACATGTCTTCGCAAGCGCAAAAAAATGCTCACATCACTTGATTGAGACTAGTCAGAAATTCCTTCGCAGTGCGCTTGTCATGGACGGTCGGCTTCGAGGGAATCTGTAACGGGCCGTGTTCTTTAGATATATATCTTTTCCAGGCACATGCGTAACAAGTTAACAAAGTCAAAGTCGAAATCATGGTACTACAAACCGAATGAGATACCTCACATGAGTGCCCCGGCTGCTGCGTTCGGTCCTTCTGGCGTGTGTGTTGGCGACAGCTATCAGCAGAATTTTACAATTCCGATGTATTCTAACATCAATAAAACACCTTTCCTTGGATCTGAACCCGGAGCGAATAGAGCGCAACTATAGCTTGTTCAGTCTTCTTCATATCATGCTAGTTCTACCCTGCTGGGTCGGTATTGAATGGTCTCTCATTGCAGAGTTTCTCAGAATAAGGCAACTGCAGTCGCAGGTGAGGTGTATGGAGTGAATATCCTCCCATCTCTTCACCATGACCTCATACCGAAACCTCCTTGCGTCCCCTGTGTATTCTGCTGAGGTACACACTTGACTTCACCTCGTAAGAGAGCGTAGACTCACTAAATATGTTTTATTTGTCATGTCGATATGGGTCTGCAACGCCGGGAATGAACGATGTGACAACTGAAGAGGTGATAACTGGATCCGATATGAAGCAAATGCGGTAAACCGAGTTTCAAACTCGAGCAAACAGAGTTTAATTAGATATGCTGTTGACGTAGTCAAATTCGTCGAATTCATCAACGAATTGCGCGTCGCCTTGGATGTACACTCTACGCCGCACCTAAATAGCCACGCGGCCCCCCGCTAGAGTCAGGGATTCTGCTGGCGATGGTTCGACAGCAAATACAACGTGGAAATCAACCATATTGCGTAGTCGCCTTACGGAATGAGTAGACGAAACAACAGCTCCCCCCCCCCCCCCATCAAGATTAAGCTTGTTTTTTAGCCGAGAATAACAAAGTTTCTTCGGGGCCCGGTGCTGGAAGGTTTTCACGATTGCGAGCCCGGGTCTTTGGACGATCAACGCCCCGGTTCACTCAGAACTGTCATCTGATCTTTTCCCCCCCAACATTTATGGCCGAATCATTTCTTCCAATTGGGATCAGTATGATAAGTGAACATCTCCAACTAGAGGACCAAAATCTGGCGAGACTCATGAATCCATCGACGTGGCTTCTTCGTGACGCTTCGAGAGGCTTCGAGACGAAAAGAGGAAATAAAAGTCTCTCGTCTTGCCAATGGGCGATTCGGCACCGGCCCCGATCTGTTCGTTCAGCGAGCGTTCGTCACCCGGCCCCGTCAGGCCTGACGACACCACCTTAAGCAGCGAAAGGGGGGCGGGGAGAAGAAGTGTGGAGTCCGTTTGCCGAAATGCAAGGCGGGTGGGGTAGGTGACTCGGAGTGAGTCAGCCCGGATATGAGCGGGATGCAAGATTGCTACCTGTACACCAAAATCAAGGCCGTGTAAGTGAGGCTACGTACGCAGCCCAGGCCAGAGAGGAAAATTTTTGCTGTGAAAATTTTTTGCAGTGCAAAGTATTGAGCAATCAAACCGGGTAAACAATAAGGGATCTCTCTTACTGCATCCTGGGCATAGTTCAAACGAGGCCAAACATCGCGGGAGGGCTGCGGCGGTGCAGTAGGCATCTCCAAGTCCAAGTCGGCCGCATCTTACTCCGACTCTCACCTCCATGACGCCGCACATGGCACTCGCGATGAACCAACCACAAGCTTTGACGAACGAACTTGGTGACTTGATACATTCTTTTGTTGCCGCAGACATGACGCTGGAGCCTAAGACTAATGTCACGCAAATCCAGGCAGAATAGGCTTGGGTGCCGGGGCTGCTGCCGCTGATGGGGGCTCCTCGTCAGGCAGACATGTCTGTCAGCAAGCCCATACCGGAGGTAAGATGGTCACTCGGAAAATTAACCACCATATCTTTACTTTTGGTACACTTACGCAAACGCAACATCCGGCGCGTCTTCACCCCGGGGCGCTTACCTTATCCCCGGCTCCCCTCCCCCCCCGTTGGCTCCCAAGACGATCACCTCCAAGGATCTAACATACACTTCCGCCCGGTACGGCTTATATGGAAATTTGAGCATACGCACCCTTCGGTATCACAAAGCCTTCCCAAGATTTGCATCCGTGACTCTAATGAGGCTGGCAAGCTTGCATCGAGGCGCATGAGGCACAATAGGACGCATGGGCGTAATGACTCACACGGCTGTTTCCATCTTACCGAACAGCATCTATTCGTCCTACTCTGATTCCCCCCCCCTGTTCGCGAATGCCGCTCCTGATGTTCGTTTCCTGTCCGTAGGTAGGCTTACCCGCTGCTCTGGAAACCGTTTACACTACCGGCCGGCAGGCTTGCGGAGCCACGCGTGACTCCCTTTCCTGCGGCTTCTCCTTTGCTCCACACCTCCGAGCTGCAGAGGGATTTCCACCTACACGGGCCACGACTACCGATGACGGCGTGTGTCGAGACGCGACAGCTGGGGGCTGTGGTACCTGGTTTCCAGCAAGATCTATACCCGCATCTCAGGTCCAACGTACGGTGTAAGTCATGTAAAGTACCATACTCTCAAGTTCTCGAATTTCATAACTTTGGGATCGACTTGCTATAAGTAAGAGACCTTTCCATGCTCATCCTCAGGTTTGTCTTTCCGGATCATTCTCATCATCATCGAAGCCAATCAGCCTAGTCAACCAATTGGACACCACTTCCCTCTTCTTGATACCAAGATCACCTTTTCCAACTCAAAGGTACATCCGAGCAAAACTGCCCGCCATCAAACCCTCATCCAAACCAGCACAACCCCAAACAACCAAAGCAGCCATGTCCGGAATGCACTCCTCCTTCTCCAGCTCCATCACCGGCGACAGCCGTCACAGCTACGCTCTCCTCTCCGCGATACAAGAGGGCTCAAAGGCCTCCTCTTCCTCCTCCTCCTCCTCTTCCCCCTCCCCAAAAGAGGCAGACGCCGCCTCAATGTCAAGCTTCGGCAGCTCCGCTTCCCTCCTCAAGAGCAAACTGAACAAGCACTCCGCCGGCTCAGCAAAATCATCATCGTCATCATCTAAAAAGTCTTCGTCCCTGATTGCCCGCCAACGGGCCGCCGAGGACGCGAATACTCAAATCATGAACTCGCAGGCTGCCTACTGGCCCGCATCTATCCGCACCGACTTGTAAAGAGCCATCTTGACAAAAGCAGAATCCCGGACAATATTGGATAAAGGAAGAAAAAAAAAACACAGTGGAAGGCGGCGGCAGATGAAGGAAATGATGTCGCCGCCATGCTTGTGTGATGGGACTTACAGGAGTTTTGGGAGTTGATGTCTTATAAATTAGACGGCCGTGCTGTAACAGCGGCCATTCGGATGGGGTCTTTCTGGATCAAAATATTTCTTTAGGTTGTTCGACGTCTACAAATTGAGCAATTGCAAGACGAGTTATAAACCTTTATTCTTAGATTGATGGAAGCAAATATCCTAGGCAAGGATCAGAATGAAAGAGTTTCATTTATGTAACCAAGGGTATCTCGTCTATCAGCAATGCAGCCTTATATACTCTCTCAGGTCGAGATCTTCTCCTCTGCCGGTTTCTATCAAAAGCTTTCATTGAGAATGTCCTCGTTCATCTTGACCATCGTAGGACTATACTCTGAACTCTGCGGCTCGGCACCCGCTGTAAGTAGAATATCGTCCACAATGCGCTTGCTTGCCTCGCGAGCTAGTAAATTTTGTCAGTAAACGGATCGATCACTGCAGAAATGAAAAGCCACTCACCAGGAGTCTGAAGCAGTTTCGACGGGGGAAGCGCAAACTGGATGGTCTTGGGCGGACTCATACCGCCATACAGCCCATGGTCCTCGTCACTATCGCTTTCCCAATCAATCTCATACTTTTGCTTATCGAACTTGGCACCGAGATCCGTAGTTGTATCGTCATCGTAGTTGCCTTTGGTAGCAAACACATCCTTGGTTTTCCTCGCGCCACCCGGTGTTTGCACGCTCACGCCCGGGGTCCTTGGTCCCGCAGATGCAGTCGCGGCAGCAAGACGCTGTCGGGCATTGCTCTTGATAGGAGACATGAAGGCCTCACTACGTAGCTTGGGAACCGCCATGACAGGCGAGGACATGGGCGAGTCCTGCTGCCATGCAGGTACGCTTTCCTTCTCCTTGTTCTTGTCATCACGCTTAAGCGGCGAGACGCGGTAAGTGGGACCCTTGTGCGGCGTAGCCTGGATGCGGAACGTCTTGTCAAGCATGCGATGCATAAGCGGGTCCTTGTGACTCTGCTGCTGTTGCGGCGGCGCGAACGAGGAGCGCGGCGTCATGGACATGTCTGGAAGACGGGCCGTGTGCTGCGCGAAGAGGACGGTTGAGTCCTCCTCGAGCCCAATATCCTCGTTCTCGTCGTCCTCTTCATGCGGCGCAGGTGGCTCGCCTTTCAGCTCGCGCTTGAGTGCCTCGTAAGGGGATTCAAGGTTTGAGAACTGCGGTTTCATCATCTTCGTTTTAGGTGGCCGAGGTGTGCTGCCAGTAAGGTCATTGTCGTCGAGTACGGAATCGTCTGCGCGGAATGTAGAGTCGGCGGTGGAAACTATGGTCATGTCTTCGCCTTCGGTGCGTTGCTGTTGGGGTGTGCGGGTATAGTCGACGGATGTGTCTTCTTGAACTGTAGACTCCTCTTCGGTTGCGCCGGTTTCATCGTCTCCATTGTTGGCGTTCTCCTCGTAGCCGGAGAGGGAAACATTGGCCGAGGCCTCGAAGAATTGTTTCCAGAACTGCAGGTTCGCCGTCTGTTAGCCGTGCTCTACTCCCAAGTATGAGAAGGGCACCAAAAATAAGCGCAACGTACCTTTGAAGCATCCCAAACATTTCGTGAATGCTCGCCATATTGCTCTACAATGGGCAAGATATTCGTGGTAACAATACGGTGCGCCTTGCTAAAGTTGTGGTCGATTTCTTGGGAAAAGAGTCAGCCGATTTGAAATGGACAGGCCAATTTCTTTTCGATGCGGTGTACTTACCTTGGAGAGTCAAGGTGATAGACTGCTCTAACTTCTCTAACTCCTCTGTGAGAGTGAGATTTCGTGCGGAGGGGCCAGGACGGGCCATGGTGTTAGCTTGTTCGGCGGTTGTTGAGCTTGAAGGTCGCAATGTGAGAGCTCAGTTTGTTTTGTTCAAGTGCACGGTTTCTTTCGTCCAAAGGAGGGAAGTAAATCAACAAACGCGGGCAGGTGGGACACGCGATGCGGGGCACTGCCAGGGAGTTCGGGGCCGGGGCATCACTTTGGCGGGGCAGGCCACGACCCCTCTGTCCCGTCCATATTCCGCTTCAGCCCGCTTGTCATCCCAAATCTGCGCCATCAGAATACAGTGCAGTGGTCCCTCTTTTGGATCAGTCTTAAAAGGCGATTCAGTAGATACTGTAAACAAAATAATGTCATTCAAGCATAGTGGCTAGTTATTAATCTAACGCCTAGGGTATCTTTTATCAACAATCTAACCGTTTCTCGTCAAACGATCATGCCTTAGAGTAAAAGCCAGACATATCTAGCTTTAGAATAAGCTGAGCAATGGGATTTCCCTCTAGTGCGTCAACTCTTCCTAAGGTCGACTTCTCTCCAGCTGTATCCTTCATTCCGTAATCTCCTTTTTCACTCAGGCCCTTGCAAACCGCTAAGAAAACCTCTACATTCCGCTTAAACATCTTGTATAAGCCCTTCGCAGTAGTGCCACCTTGGCCATGAGCTTTCCGCCCAGCATTCTGAAGTCTCGAGTATTGAGCAAACTTCAACACGACCCGGAAAATGTCGTCGAGAAGCTTGAGCACAGGCTGTTGCCGCTTGCGCAAAAGTAGTGCTAGCATGATTCGATCAAGTACTTGAGAATGGTGTTCCCTCAGACGGTCAGGGCTGAGGACTGCGGTAGAGAATGTGCTCTGGTCTTCGGCTCCGAGGTCGATCTCGATTTGGCTCAGTAGTTTCTCAAATGCCTGCCACGGTATTTCGATGCCGATATCGAAGATGTAGGAACTGAGGCTGGATATAAAATGACGAGCTTCGAAGCAGAAGCGAATAGATATGTCATCGACATCCTGCCAGCCCGACTCCCTAGCCGTGACATCACGGAAGATACGGTTGACAGTATATTGCATCCGTAGCACTCGAAGCAGCAGTTTGAAAACTCGGTCATACTGCACCAAAATGACGGGGGTGATAATGGCCCCTAGAGCTGCAGGTGGCTTATAGGATAGCCGGAGAAAGTCCAAGGCCTCTAGTCCCGTGGGATCCATGCATTTGTCGATTTCCTCATTCGAGAGACTCCGGACTCCGAAACTAAGATCCCCGGGGAGTTCATTCTTTTCGCCATCTCGAGGTCTTGAGTCTTCGTGCAGCGGCCCCTCGTAACTTTCCGTTAATACTCCCATAAGGGCTAAGCGTAGTTCAGAACTGGCGGGTGGCCAAGTGTCCCTACCACTTAATCGTAATCCCATGACTCCGCCTTGATGAGCAACACCAGACTGTCTCTCTGCCGTCTCGAGATCTGGGTCAAATAGGGCATGAGAGAGGCGGCTACAGAAGAATCCGTTGCCTAACAATTGGAACTCTTTCTGAAGCTTCAGATGCTCACGCAAGTTGTGGGATGTGAAGAGCAGTTTCAGAGTTTCCCTGCCCACGATTCTAGATTGCGCAGATATGATGGACCCGAATGAGAGAATTGGAAGCAGTGACCAATGCGGTGTAAAATCAGTGCCGGCACTGGCGATCTCGGTCGTAACATCAGATAAGCGCTCCCTAATGATAATGCCTAGCAGGTCTTCTGACGTCGAGTCAGCAATCGGTTTGGCGAAGTCCTGGATAGATAAGACCAATTTGTTTTGTAGCTGATTCTCGTCCAGGCCAAACAGTTGCAATTGATAGGTCGCTGAGTTTCCAATCGGCCAAGTTGGTGTCGCTGTTTTGGCTGATCCCTGTAGAGAAAAGTTCTTGATGGCTTCAACAACCGCACTTTCGTATGATCGGATCCTATGCTCTAACTGCACGACCGAGTTCCAGTCAAAAAGCCACTCAACTGTCGGGGGCCGACTGGAAGAGATAGTGCTCTCTTGTGACAAAGGGTGTCCGGGATGATTTGACCTTATGAAACGAAGATTTCGTCCCACCTCAAATAGAGATTTAACAACATCTTCCGGCATAAAGCTAGGGATTCGCTTAGTATCAAGGCGGAAATCGACCTCGTCGACCTCGTCACCGAAGTCGTCCATATAGGTTTCGGATTCCACCTTGATGAAGCCCTTTTGCCTTCCGACTTCGTGTTTGCTTAGAGGCACGCCAAGTTCACGCCGTGTGCCGATCCACTCTTCAACAAGCTCAATCCAGGGTTTTGAAACTCGCCGGAGGACTTCTCGCATCATATCTCTGAGATGAGTCTCGGCGTACTCAGCAGACTGAGCCTGCTGGAATACGATGACGAAAACATCCTCATCCAGATAATCTCGTCGAATCTTTGACACCAACGACTCAAATTGGCGCAAGGTAGTGTATATGTGCGCGACGAGCGATTCAACTTGGAGAATCGACCGCGGATGTTGGTGATGCAAGGCGACACTGCTCTGGATAACCAAGAGGGCCTTGTCCACAGCGCTCGCTAGAGCAACACGGCATGGAGTCGGGTTCTTCAAATATGTACTGTCGACAAACTTGCGAAGTTGACGATATGTATTGCCACACTTGAGACATGAACGCTGGACTTCCTGGATAGCCTTGCCTGAATATGCCGGTATCCTGACCTGGGGTAAGGCTGGCTTGAAGGCTTCATGCTCGTCTTGCCAGGAAAAGAACACCGAGTCTCTTCCAAGAGCCAAAGCTAGAACCGCATTGCAATATGTCTCAGCTTCCACCACGGTGAACACAGCACTTCCAATTTGTAGAGGATCCTCCTTAAGCCCAATCAAGGCATCAAATGCCCCAGGCCCAGCCTCCGTTATGAACAATGGCTTTTTCGAAGGAATGTCGGGAGACTGGAAGCCTTCCCAAGTCTTGTACTCCGGTAGCTTCGCGGCGGGCTTGTCAAACCCCAACCAGAAATCGGTCACTTCAGCCTCTTCCTCTATTGAGGGTTCTTCGAACGTAAAATCGGGGATCTCGGTCGAGTTCGACTCCTCCTGTTGCGGAGCAGGGTCTATGGCAGGGAGCGTAAAGAGTTCGCTGGGTTGAGGATCGGGAGGGTTGCATAAAGAAGCCAACTCTGTGTCTGAAGATAAATAAGGTCAGTAAAACGACCAAGAGCCTCTTTGGTTCGAGAGGCTGTACCTATTAGGTCGAGAGCAAAGAAGCCAGTGTCGGCCCGAGGCAGTCGGTCTTGTAGCCATTTGGACGGCTCCCGGAAGTCTGGAACCGCGAAGACGTTTGAGAGATCATCTTCCTCAAACATGGTTGCGCCGACGGTAATATTGCGACGTTGAACATTGGTGTAGACGAATACGGGGCGCAAAGCCTGCGATCAGTGACATTGCATCTTTGAGGATTCAGGTTCTATATGACGTTTCTCCCAGGCACATTTAGGGACAAAGCTAAATGAGCGGCTAGGGGCCCCGCGACGCGACTGGCGCGTCGCATTCAGGCACAACCAGCTGAGCACGACCCCTGCATGTCTCTGCCCGATTCTGATCATCCCCGCAGGCTCGGCTCCTGGCGGCTGAAGAGCCTAAGACTCAAAAGGTACCTACCCTGCGACGCGGGAAAGCAGGTGGAACCAATTGAGAGCTCTCAATGCCTCAACCCGCTATAGCTCTCGGATTTCAGAAGCTTCTTCTTTCAACCTTTGCCAAAGCATTTGGGCACCAGCCTTACATCCTCCATATCATCACCGAGCATCACATTTACACGCGCTAGAATACAGGAAGAACAATCTCTGTAAATTCACGCCGCTGGCCCTCGCCGCCATGCCTCCCAAAAAGAAGGTGCGCAGCAGCGTGTCTGCTGTCGCAACGCCAACGCCAGCTCGCGACGAAGATGCCATGGACGTCGATACACCGGCTGCAGATACACCCGTGGCGAGCGCACCTCCAATAAAGCCTTCTGCGGATGAGTGGCCGAACAATCTGTGGACCGACGACCAACTCTCGTCACTTTACAAAGGAGTTATCCGGTGGAAACCAGCGGGTTAGTTGATCGGTCCTTACGAGCCCAATTGAATCTGACGGTCAAATCATAGGCATGCACAAACACTTCAGGATGATTGCTATCAGCGAGCACTTGCGGAATCACGGAATTGACCCCGACTTCTACACCCACACACGTATCCCACATATCTGGACTAAGCTACGCACCTTGTACGACCTTAAGACGATCGACCAGCGAGAAGACTTCTACGACGCCCAAGAAGATGACAACTATGACGACCGATTCAAGGAGTTCTCCCTTCCATACGACGAGTTCGACGACATGATGATGGAACGTCGCCTTGCTGATGCCAGCGAACCTCCAACCTCACCACCCGAATTCGAACTTACGCCGCCACCGCCCTCCCCTGGTGGTAGCAACGCTGGCGGAAACACCAGGCGGCGAAAGCGTGCTTCTACAGTGACGAAGACTCGCGCTAGCACCGTCGAGGATACGGAAGATGCTGGCACAGACACTGCATCGCCGCCTCCAAAATCGGCGCGGGTGGCCAGGAGTCAGAAGAGAGCCGCCGGCAAGGCTAAAGCCGAGAAAGCTGAGAAGGTTGAAGAGCCCGAAAAGCCTAGGAAATCCGGGAAGCCAGCGAAGGCGGAGAAACCCAAGAAGGGCGGGAAAGCTAGCAAGGCTGAAAAGGCCGACTCGACGAACTCGGAAGATGACGACGACGACGATGACGAGAACTCGGGCGGGGATGAGGACGGCTCCGAATCGGACGAAGAAGAGCAAGATGATCGCAATGAGGGCGAAGACGGAGAAGATGGAGACGAAGGAGACGAGGAAGAGGAAGGTGATGGGAGCAATTCTGGTGATGGTAGCGGCTCTGGTGATGCCGGTGACTCTGGCGGCTCTGGAGATTCCGATGACGGAGACGAGGAGGAAGAGGAGAGTGCCGAAGATAGTGGGACCCCGGTATCGCGTTCAACAAGAGGTGCTGCTCGAGGTCGTGGCAGAGGCAGAGGCCGAGGTAGAGGACGGGGTCGGGGGCGTTAGCAACGCGGTCGGATGCGTTAGCCAAAGTCAACTGCAACCCGACCCGCAACAGCAAACAAGCTGGCGGCTGTTCATAAAGACAGACCGAGTGGGATAAAGATACCCGTCGCGATCTGCGACTTCATGAATGTTTCACTGAACACGAACGTTGTAATCACACACGCCTCGTCTCATGTCTCACTCACTAGTATAGGATAGCATGGGATGGTCTTGGACTAAGAAGAAGAATAAAAAGTAGATAAATCCAAATCTATGGGTATCAAGAACAGGAACCAAACTCAACGACTAAACTCGGGATCATGCCTTCTTATCCTGAAGCTGTGACGTGCCGAGCATTTCCCACTCGCTGTGATACGTCAATTTCTCCCTCCACCGCCGCCCGACATCGTACACGTCTTCCACAGCCCTGGCTACTTGCTTAGTATGCACTGTGGCCTGCGTCGTGATGAACGGCTCTGGGGGTTGTCGCTGCAGGAGCCGCCACATGTCTGTTTCGCACTCGCGGCTCGCCTTTGCATCTTCGGCTTCTGCATACGCTTCCTGCGCCAGCTCGTTCCTGATCCTGTTCTTCAAGGCTTCTCTCGTACGATGTGTTTCGGGAAAGTCGTACGCGGAGTAGACGAGTACCTCGTTGGCCTCCTCGACGACCTCGCGTTCTGCGTCGTCCATGATTGCAGGCGCCTCGTCACTCGATTCTTCCAAAACGGAGTCTTCATCGTCCGCCGAGTCCGCCGAGTCCGACATTTCGTCTTTCTCGAATTTGATCTGGGGGTTTGGGAAGCTTTGGCCTGTATTCGGACGCTCGGTATCTGCTTCCCTGCGTAGGACGCTTTCCACGCGATCATATGACATTGGCTCCTCGTCCTCGTCGTCCTCAACATCTTCGGCATCGTCATCGCAGATGTGAAGTCGTAACCTCCGTGCACATGTCGTCCAGAACTCGTTGCTGTCCTGCTTCATACCCAGCGATGCAACTGCCGCCTCAACGTCCTTGCGTCTGACCAAATTCCTCGTTGATGGTTCAACGTGCTTCTTGGCCCGGATCCGGGATTGCGCAATAAAGAGTGTAGTGAGAACAATCTTCTTGGTGACAGAAACGAGAAGGGAGTGGAAATCCTGCAATGCCGTCGCCCTGATTGCCGGCGGCTCCTCGCTAACGTACTGCCAATTATTCTCTGCGTTGGATGCGTTCATGAAGATGCGCTCGGGAAGTCGAAGAAAGCTCTTCACCCGAAGTACCTCGGTGAATGCCAGGCCATGGTCGCTCGCGAACGTCGGGTCCTTGTCCAGTCCGTGATCGCCTTCGATGCGTTTCGCGAGCTCCAGGTTGATATTCCAGCACTCCCCCCACTTCTTCTGCTCGACAAGCTCCTCGTGCCGTTCCTGACGGAAAGAAAGTGCGTCGGCTGCTTCGTCGAGCGCGTGGCAGCATAGCGGACTGATCTCGAGGGCTGCAGGATAGTCTGCTAGATGTACTGGCTTGTTGCCTCCATCCTGCTCCTTTCCCCTTCCCTCAACAGCCGCTTGCAGGAGGAGGATATACTGGCGGACTTCAATTTCACTCTTGGTCTGTATCTTGGCCGAGATGCCCGGTAAGTCGTCCTTGCCGAGTCTTGAGAGGGCCTCGAAGAAGAGCTTCTTCTCGTACGAGGTCCAAGTCGTCAAGCCAATCTGCGAAGGGGGCAGATCATCGTCTCCTCCGACAGTTGTGTGATAAACGACATCTTGAATATCCCCATTCAAGAGATCCAAGTAGTTGTTGTTGAAAACGCCTTTATGACGCTTAAGAACTGGCTCCACGATCTCATCTTGCGCCCGTCGCTTGTGTCTTGAGAGGCCTTCGTCTGTGCCACTTGCATCGTCGCTAGATGATGCGACGGGATATGCAGAATGCGGTTCCTGGTGTTCAGTTTTTTGCCGTTTTGGTGGTGACTTGTTAAGGACCTTAAGGTCATGGTCTCCTGAGTCCTGGTTTTGCAAATAGTCGTGATCCGGCTCCATGCTCATATTCGTCTGAAACTCTCAAGTCGACGATTCGGCCTAGGCGGTGTGTCGCGGACATGTTGTGATGAGAGCACCAGTATGTAAGAATTTTTGCCTCATAGAAGCCAAGTCCTGCGTCTTGGATTCCAGGCTTGGTGTATGCTATCGGTGGCTGCCTCGAAGATACATGAGGTCTCTCGGACGCTGCCTCAGTATTGTTCGATTGAAGATTTCCCAGCATTAGGGACCATAAGTTCCTCCTTGTGTAACTCTAACAGGCAGGTACCTAAAATCCCGCTGTAAGTGTTACCAGGAAACTTCGAGTACATCTTGGAAAGTACTATTTAGAGCCTGTGGAGCCAATCCGAGGCAATCGATTGGAGCAACTGCATGCCCCTTGCTCTCCTGCACATCCAGGTTTCCGCAATAGCGACTACCAACAACACTTATTACCTTACTTTAACGTCCTTGTTCATCTTCAACTTGTTCCAGAATGGGGACCTTCACATCATGATACCTTTTGCCACACGGAAACTTTTGGCGCCTTCCTTCAGCATAAATGGTTTTAGACTTCTCCTTCTCATCAGAACCCCCGTCAAGAGACAACTTCCCTCTGCTAGAGTACGATTCGCGAGCTCTCGTATACAGCTGAGAGACTATCAAGAAGAATGCATTCAGTCCGTCTTACAGTCCCTCGAAGATGGACACAAGAGACTGGGAATTTCGCTGGCTACCGGTAGCGGCAAGACGGTTGGCGTCTGTGATGAGCTTCGATGACTGCAGACAACTAACAACCTTAGGTCATCTTCACCCAGCTGATTGAAAGGATTCAGCCAAGGGAACCCGACGCCACGCAGACCCTCATCCTCGCTCACAGAAGGGAACTTGTCGAGCAAGCGGCAAGGCACTGCACCAATGCATACCCTGACAGCACTGTGGAGATTGAGATGGGTTCCATACATGCTTCTGGCGCCGCAGACATCACCATTGCCAGCCTGCAGAGCCTCACGTCCGGGGACCGACTCAACAAGTTTGACCCGAAAAGATTCAAGCTCGTGCTTGTCGACGAGGCGCATCACATTGTAGCGCCAGGTTACATGCGAGTACTGCGTCACTTTGGACTCGACAGTAAAAAAGTGGACTCGCCGTCTTTGGTGGGCGTTTCTGCCACTTTTTCTCGATTTGACGGCCTCAAGTTGGGCGCCGCGATTGACCAGATTGTCTATCATAAGGACTATGTAGACATGATTGGAGACAAATGGCTCTCGGATGTCATGTTCACCACCGTGGAATCGACGGCGGACTTATCTAGGGTCAAGAATGGTGCAAATGGCGATTTTCAGCAGGGAGAACTATCAAGGGTTGTCAATACCGACCAGATCAACGAAATCACCGTACGGAGCTGGCTGGCCAAGGCATCCGATCGGAAATCGACTTTGGTCTTTTGCGTCGACCTTGCGCACGTCGCTGGCCTGACGCAGACATTCCGCAAACACGGCTACGACGCAAGGTTTGTGACAGGAGACACGCACAAAGTCGAGAGAGCCGAGATCCTTGAGGAGTTCCGAAATGGGAAGTTCCCCGTGCTTGTGAACTGCGGAGTCTTCACAGAGGGAACCGATATCCCGAACATCGACTGCGTCATTCTTGCTCGCCCAACACGATCTCGGAACCTTCTGGTGCAGATGATCGGTAGAGGTATGAGATTACACAAGGGAAAGTCCGACTGTCATGTCATCGACATGGTTTCCAGTCTCCAAACCGGCATCGTGACTACGCCGACGCTTTTCGGTCTAGATCCGAGCGAGCTTGTCAGCGAAGCGACGACCGCCGATATGGAGAAAATTAAGGATAGGAAAGAAGCCGAAAAGCTCCGTCAGGACCACGCTTATTCCGATACTCCCTTACTTGAATCAGCTACGCCCACAAGATCAGTAACCTTCACTGACTACGACTCCGTATTTGATTTGATTGAGGACACATCCGGCGAGCAGCACATACGGGCCATAAGTCAGTACGCGTGGGTCCAGGTCGGTCAAGATAAGTACGTCCTATGCGCGCCGAACGGATCCTACATTCGACTCTTCAAAGTTGGCGCCCAAACCAAGACCAGTGACGACGAAAGCAAGGAGCAACTCCTGTGGCAAGCCGTTGAAATACGCTCGCTGCCCCCGGGCGTCGCCAAATCTCCCTACTCCGCACCCCGCGAGCTCCTTCAAGCCTCAACCTTTGCCGACGCGGTCCATGGCAGCGATAACTACGTTTCCAACTCGGAAACCTACCCTCATACGTTTGTCCAGCGCTGGCAACGCTGGCGCAAGGGCCCGCCGACGCAGGGACAGCTCGACTTCCTCAACAAACTCCGGCTCAAGGAGGAGCCTCTGACGGCCGACGACGTAGATAAGGGCAAGGCGACGGACATGATTACCAAGATCAAGCACGGGGCCAAGGGCCGGTTTGCGAGTCTCAAGACGGAGAAGCGACGCGTCCAGCGATCTCACGATAAAAAGGCGCAGTTGGAGGCGAGAGCGCGGCAGGAAAAGGTCTCTGTCGGGCCTGTTGCCTCTTGATTTGAGATCCTGTTGTTGTGGGACATCTTCTGCTTCCGGAGGTTCAGGGCGCAGATATTGTAAGATCAAGGGCCTTTGGACGTTTGTCATATAGTACTATGCCGGTGTGCATGTGTAAAATCACGGAGACTTGCAAGGGAGATATTGCAAGATGGGAGAAATCTGTACAACATTCTTGAAAACACCTGCAACCTGGGTAGCACCTGCTGAGTCTGACCGACTATGATGTCAAAGGTGTGAAGATGCGTTTCAGAAGGCCATTACCCGCAGCACTTTGTAGCAGAAAGGTTCTATGGGGAGCACGGGGGTTCGCCAGACCCTTGGCCGTGGATTTGGTCTCGCACTTAGACCGCGATAACTGTTTCTTACTAGGCGAATGCAACCCATCGGGTTCAAATATCGCCTTTCGTTGTCCTGTCAGTTGGAGTGAGACCCTCACTACTCCTACTGCCATCAACGATTACACATCACCCAGAAAACAGACAGTGGTTTGAATGACCATGGGTATCGTTGCATTTCAAGGTCAAACTAAAAAAAAGGCCTGCAGGTATCCATACAGTTCCGTCGTCATCTCCCGCTTGTAGTTCAGTCAGCCGCTGAACCTTGCGTCATACTGGCCTGCCGCCATAACAATTTTCCCTTTCACCGCCTGGCGGACTTGCTGAGCCAACCCACACACAGAGAGTATAACGGCCTATTTCCATCTCTTCCCAATTGACACTCATTGCTGGCCTTGGCACCTCGTACGCCCTTACTTTTCAGCTCCTTTGGCGGCAGGAGACAATTGTTGTGCGGGGCTTGACCTATATTGAATAGATCTGTAGAGGATTGCGAGACCTGGCTGCTGAAATATCAACATCGAGTTATGGGCGAAACCATGTGACCCCTCGACCTCTCGCTTTTTCGATTCCCCTGTGACCGTGGTCACCAGGAGCGCTGAATGCATAAACAAACAAAGCCAAACCGCAAACAAGGTATCTTTTCTTTTTTGTCCTCCGCCTTTCGACTTCGGGGGTATAAAGAGTGGACGTGAACACGTGCGATAGCGACTATCGAAACCCGCAAGACTAAGAGACTAAATCAAGTAAAACAAAGAACGATAAAAGCAACAGCAGCAAAGCAAGCAAAACAATAACTTCGGCCGACCGATGCATCGGAAGCAACGTTCCGGGGGTATTGTACGCCAGGGTATATCCAGCCGGGGTATTTTGCACGTAGTAGATTTTCTAAGACGGGAATCTAACGGAAAGGTCCGATGGGACCGGGGTATCCAGAATTCGTAGAATGAGACGTAGAAGGGCGCCCGCTGTCGCCGGACGCTCGAGTGCTGTGACGTGGCGTAACGTCACCGGGTTGGGGAATGGTCAGCTTGTCAGAACCATTCCCAATAGGGCGGTGGGCCCATGGGTTGTCGTCGTCTGGAAGATTAACACCGCTATCGTTCCAGGGGTTTCTGTCCGCATTGAAGCTGCGGGTAGACTCGATCGAAATAAGAGAAGACTTGGACACATTGCTAGATCCCTTGAAAAAGTTGGCGTGGGTCGAATGGGAGCTGTTCTTGCGGCGGTCCAAGAAGGACGAGATGGAGGTCATGCTGCCAGGCTTGCGAAGACGATCAAAGATCGTACCTCGCTCGCGAGCAACCTCTCCCTCGAAGGCCGCCTTGGTTGGGGAATCGGCGGCGATGGTGGCCGGAGCATGTTGAAGAAGCTTCGAGTCAAAGTACTGAAGCGAGTCTTCGAAAGAATCGGATTTGGGCCGGGGGATTGAACCCTTCAAAATGGTCACCTCAACGCCAGCAGTGGCAAATTGGGCAAGAAGGAAGTCGATGGCGTCACGCAGGCCGCCCGCATTGTTGCGAGTAAACGTCCAGCGCAAGGCGAGAGCCGGCAAGCCATCCTCGGAATCGGCATCCTGATGGACGGTGACCTCGACTTCGTACTGCGTCTTGAGCTTAGGAACAAGGTCGTGGGCGAAGCTGGGCGACTCAAGGAACTTGATGAACTCAGGGGTACGAGTGAGAACCAACTCGTGGTTGTCAGGAACCATGCCCTAGACAGAGTGTCAGCATAGGAGATCCAACGGCAACAGATCTACAAGTGGGCGTACCAAAAATTCATCGACACAATGAGGCACCTGCCACTGTGGGCCAGTCACAGTGACCTCATCGCTAGCCTGCTCAGTGCTAGGGAACACAATCTTGCAGTTGTATTTGCCCTCGAGCTCGTCAATCTCGCCGAGACGAGCCAAAAGCTGACGATGATACAGGCGGTCAACATTGACGATCTGCGAGGTATACTCAGAGTCCTAGAGCAAATTGATTAGCTTGGCGATGAGACGAATTACGGACTTGAATTGGTCAACTTACGGCTCTGTCGACCATTTCCAGAATCTCGTTCTTGACAGCATCGAGATTCTGGGCGTTTCTGGCTGGAGTGCGGCAAATAACGTTGTCGACCTTGACGTCGTCGTCCTCGCGGCCCATTCCTCCGCGGTCCATGGCGTTGGAGAACTTGACAAATACAGAGTGCTTCTTCATGATGCGCTGGATATGCTGTCCTCCAATGCCAATGATTCGCTTGTGGTACTGATCGGGAACGTGGAAGGAGATCGAAGCAGGCATCTCCTGTTCGACAAGCGTGAGCCCCTGCTTCATTGAGTCGTAGCTGGCAGCCATGACATCGATGTTGAAGTTGTACTCGTTGAAGCCGTCGAAGATGATCTGTACACTGCTTTGACCCATGATTTTGTTGATTTTGCCATTCTTCTTGCCGCTCACGAATTCTTTGTGCTCGTTGGCAAGTTCAATCTTGACTCGAATCTGGTATTGGGACTGAACAAGGAATTTGATCTCGGACATGACCATCAAGGCGGCTTTTACGGCATCATCAGAACCGGTAATTGAGAAGTTCATCTTGTCGAAGGACAAGTCGGCATCCGAGTTGGCACAAACATCGCCAAGCATAGTTCTGACGTCGGCGGGGTTCGGAAGCTGGCGACTGTCCGGCTGTTGGATCCACCAAGCTGCGCTATAGAACTGTCCGGCCTGTAGAACATCGTTAGATTTGGGCGTTCGTCGTTTTCTCCTGCATAACTTACCAAGGCCATGACCTCGCGGACGGTGCGCTCAACATGAAGTCCTTCGCTGCCCTGGACACGAACCATGTTGCGCTGGCTTGCCAGAGGAGGGAACAAGATGTAGGTGCCATTGGCTTCAAGGATCTTGCGGACTTTGTCAAGACGGGTAAGCAAGACGCTGTCAATTTTGGCGGGCGAGATGGTGACATCCTTCATGTACAGGCGGATGCGGGAAACAGTCTCGTGGAGCTTCTGCTTGGCAAGTTCAATGGCTTGAGGGCTCTCGCCCGTGATGAAGATGTCTGTAGGGTCACGGCGGCTTGCACCAGGCGGGCAGTATCGGTACATCTGAGAGAAGGGAGGCGGGAAGTAGATGGCAGTGCCAGTCGACGACTCAATGAGCTTAATGTTCTTCCGGTGGCGGCCGCATACAAGCTGGTGAATCGACAGGTCAAGCTTGGTGGCATCGACAACTCGGCCGAGCTGCAATACGGTTAGCGAGGTAAGACAAAATCATGTAGCTGATTGGCTAATCTTACCAGAGTGTCAATTTGAATGAGCACACGGGCCTTTGCATGCTCGACGGAGAGAATATCACCATAGATGGCTACTCGCCATCTTTGATCTACACGCATCTCGGCATCACCCGTCATGCCATCAACCACGGGTGTCAATTTGGGTCCCAGCAAGAAAATGTCGACCCCGCAGTACTTGGAAATATAATCCAAGGTGTCCGTCACTTGCTGCTTCAAGGCACCAGCGGTCAAGTCACAGACAAGGTGGCCCTCAACATCAACAGTCGTACAACGCTAGATTAACACAAATTAACTCACGGTCCAACAACCCCGTCTGTATATGCAGAACCTACCAAGACAGTCTGGTTGTCGTTCAGGATCGTCTCCCTGCTCTTGTTGACCATTTCCGGGGTTCCCGACAGGCACACCGTGGTGACCTGCTGTCCCTTTGCATTTTTGGGGGTCGTCGAGATGACATGAGCCTCGATCTGGAAAGGGCCGTTGGTGATGTCCTTGCAGACCTTGCGCAAGTTGGCAAGATTCTGGGTGTGGACAGGCAGCTCGTGAACCTGGACGTCATCGGCGACATCCTCGGGGTGGGTCCAGCGCAAGACAGCATCGTCGGTAGCGTGAAGGATGTCCTCAGTATTGGGACCGGCGAGGTCGGAGGCGAATGGCACGTTGAAGGAGTAGTGAATGATTGGCGTCGGAGCATCGAGAGGCTGAGGCGAGCTTATTGAAGCAGCCTGTTGAGGAACTGTATCTCTTCTCGGGTTCATGGGGTTCATGGGCATGTTGGGACGACCCATTCCGAAGTTGGGGCTCATCCTCTCGGACCAGTGACGCATGTTTGCCAGTTTGTTCATATTGCGAGCTCGCAGAGACAGTCGTGGGGACAGGGAGGGGAGGAGGCCACAGAACCGGACCGCGAACGACAATTGAGGGTATCGAAACACACGAAGGGGGACAGGGCAAAGGAGAAAATAAGGAAAAGGAGGGGGGATGGAGGAAAAAAAAAAAAAAAAGGAGGAGATGTCGCTTCTCGAAGCTCTCTCTCAGACTCGGTGAAGGGTCTGTAGAGAGGAGATTGCTGGAGAGAAGAAGATGTGTTGGATGGGTGTGTGAGAGTGGAAGAACTCAAGAGAAGAGGAGTCGAGAGATTCAGAACGCAGCGAAAGATGGTCATAGGTGCCCGTGGTGGTCAAGGCCGCACTGCAGCAGGCCCAGGCCAGACCAAGCAAGGCATGGCATGCCATGGCAAGGTGGTCCGGCCACTCCCAGTTCCCCGTCCCAGTCCCAGTCCCAGTCCTAGGTCAGGGCTCCACTTCGGCGGCCAACCAGCCAGTCCCTCGACAATTAGTGGTGTGTGGCCCCTCTCACTAACAGGACACAAGGGCTCCTCCCTCC